CTCCCATGCTGAGACAGTGTTGGAGCAGCTGATTCTGCTCCAGTATTTTTCAATTCTATGGATACCACAAGCTTATCCTTAAAAGGTAAACTGATGGGCTTAAATTTCATCCATTAGTGTGGTAGACTGTGTGCTTGAAAGCCAGGGAGGGCAGGCTAAGGATTCTGAACTTATTTGGAGCATACTTTACACTCACACAAAGTACTGTTATACCCCCACCTTAAAAAGAGAAAATCAAGACCTTAAAGTGATCAAACTCACTACTAAGTAGATGAATTGTAATTTCAGCCTAGGGTTTGTTTTCATTCTGTATTCTTTTGTAGTGTGTGGAACCCAAAGAACACCACCCCACCCCCGCCAAGACATCACTAAGTGCAAGCTAGTTAGAAACAAAACATAATGAGGGCTAAGTGAATTAGTCAACGAAAAAAACATGTAAGTGCTGAGACAATGATGAACAATCTGCTTATTAATAAACAAAAAGATAAGCAGTAAATAATCTAAATTCCAGCACTGAAAGAGATAAGAAAAAACCACACTATTCTGTTCTCCTGTCTGTGCAAAGACAGTCCCCCATCATTACACATGACTGAAGGTAACTGCTTAGACTATCAGTTAGACATTTAAGACCATTAGTTTGACAAAAACAAAATAAGACACAGGAAAACCCTCTATGTATCAAAGCCTCAATATAAAGATACAATGGTATTAGACACGTGGGAAAAAGCCCACCACAACAAAACACAAATTCTCAAGGTGGTGCAGTGAGCTGCTGGTTTAGTCAATGTGACAGTGCTATTGTTTGCAGGTGGTGAGCACTGCTATGGGATGGTAGGGAGCAGCATTTTCCAAACCATGGGTTATAATCAATATTCAAACAAAAATAGAAAAAAATCACAATAAAGGTATAAAATACCTTATAATATATAAGGTCAGTGTCTTGTAGTACCTGATCTGTGTATATTCACTCACACAGATACACACAACTACATAAACAACCCCCCACACATACACAAACACAATGAATTACAAATATCCTGGGTTGTGGTGTAATCCTTATTTCTCACTCTAAATCAGTCAACAGTCACTGTTATCCAGGAACTGACTCATTGTCCATGAGCTGTGCTGTATGTTTGCCATCTCTGGAGTGAGAAAAAGTCATCAGATTCCTGTCCATTGGCACGCACCATTACTGTTCTAGACAGACTGAATTAAATGTATTATGTCACAGCCTTGAGAAAACTATGTGTGATTAAACAATTAACATACAAAACAATAGTTGCTGCATTACAATAATACTGCATCTTGGTTAACATTCTTAAATATATTTATTTGAATTTCCTAATTCACCCCAGGATGAATTCACTGCATTCCATCTTTACGCTGTTATTTGCAAACGTTTGGAATAAATAGAAAAATAAATTAATGGAGAATTCCAATTCTCATTTTATTAAATTTTTACCACAACAAAAGTCAATCCAAGGATTCTGGAGCCATAGATGCTGCTTTTCCCAAATGAAGTCCAAGTCCCATTTTTTAATCGTTGTATTAAATTGGAAGCATATCTCAAGCAGTAAGATATCCAATATCACTTCCACTGGTATAATAATCCTTGACTTTGGGGAAGGAAATGGTTTGGGGACTAGAAGAATATTACAAAGGGTGGCTGGCTACAGTACAATTCTCGGTCTAGTGAGTTCTCCTTGATGTGGGCAAAAGTAGTAGTATCACCTGCTGGCTGAAATAAACTCAGCCTAGCCGAATACTCAATTTAGCTTAGAAATTCAATGACAAACCATCCATATTCACTATACGGTTTATGCTGAAGAACATATATAGTGCTGCATTTCACTTTCAAAATGTGTAAAAATTATTTTGATCTTTGACTAAATAAGTTCCACATCTGAGAATTTAGACCAGCGATATAATCCAAAGTAAAAAGCAAAAATATATAGATATTTTATAGAAAGTTATTTGTCATTGTGAAATACTTAATATCCAACAACTGGGTAATAGATAAAAAAATTTTATGTGAATCTAGACTAGTATACTAGATATTTACAACACTTTACTATTATTTAATAACTAGAAAATATATTTTAAGTGAAATGCAGGAAAATCTCAACAGAGTATTGCAAACATTTGATAATTAAATTCATTTTTGGGGGGCACCTGGGATTGAACTCAGGACCTTGTGCTTGTGAGTGGCTCAGGTGCCACTGAGCTAAATCCCCAGCCCTGATAATTAAATTCTTATTTGGTAATTCCTCATTCCTTGACTTAGTACTAGACATGTGACGCCTTTCTTCTGCATTAAAACGTCAATGACAGGTCTTAAATTTCACTTCAGTGCACAAAACAGAACTCGGCCTTGAATCTCCTAACTGGGAGTGACACTTAGTCTCATTATGTAATAAACTCTATTCAGCTATTAAATATTAAACACTGATGTAAAAACAGAAGCACACCCAGCTGATTAACCACTATCCCTGTGATGTCTTGCAAGAGAGACTGATGCGACAGCAAAAGCCCTGGCTGTGCACTCATCAAGCTGCTCACAGTGAGGCCAATACAGGTGATTCTCTTCTCCCTTTGCTTTCATATACACTTGTATACTAAATATTATTATTATTTTTTTTTGGTACTGGGGATCAAACTCGGGTCCTTGCACTTGTGCAGCAGGCAGTGACACCACTGAGCTAAATCCTCGGGTCTATATACTAAATATTTTTTATGATGAGATGAAAATAACATTTTTAAAGGGAGCTTGAGTGTTCCTGGTGGCTTGACTGCTTTGTTATATTGAGAATATATAGATTAAATTTTGCTTCAAACTTTAGATTAAAATAAGGACTGATTTAAATGTTTTCAAAAACTTTTTCTCATTTCATTAATAATTAAACTTGATCTGTCTCTTCTCTTTATTATTACTTTATCATAGTTATAATTTTATACACATAGGATGAAAAATTAGCTGAATAGGTTTAAGAGACGTTAGGAGAGAAAGCCTGAAGAGTCATCACTTGAAACCTTTGAAAGGTCACCTTGGCTAGCTCAGTCCCAGACTCAGGGTTAAAGCAGGTTACAGCAAGGATCCCTCCTTGCCACCTCTGCCTGTGTACTGTGGCTGGCGGAACTAGGAAAGGTGCTGGGTTACTATAAATAGCACTGTTATTTATTTATGCAGCAGAGAAACTACCATAAATCTTAGAAGCAGGAAAAGCTGATCTGCTTCCAGATTCAGGTCTCTTCTGGTGTCTTGTTACTTTTTTCTTTCTTGTTTTTATCCGTTAGCTAGATTCTAGAACATAAGCCCAAAAGCCTTAAGCAGCATCACTGAGTATTTTCTTACCTGTCTCTTGGATACAGGCAAAGAAAGAGGTGAGTCACACACAGGGAAATGCACTTTCTTATAGGCTCGAAGCACCTGTGGGATACAGCATCTGTGCTGGGCCTTGGAACAGATAGATGGTAAAGAAAGGGTTTGGAATGGAACGGGGGTGCAATTATCTGAGCTACACAACCAAGTCTCCTTTCATCTTTATCCATAGGTACAGGATAAAGCCAAACTCCAGCATGTGACTTGGCCATGAAAGGAGAATTGGACCAAGCACTGGCCATTGGTTAGCATACAGCACAGAAGGCCAGCAGCTGAAACCACCCTGGCAAGCTCTCCCTGGGGGCTGACAGTCCTCAGACAAGGGGCTCTGGCTCAGGTGTGGCATTTTATGGGCTCAGCCCCTTGCTCTACTGCCGCACACTTTATATCTGCTTCAGTCAGTGCTCTGAAGTTCAGTACAGGAGACCAGTCTTCCATCACCATAATGACAAGGGTGGATGGGCAAAGACTATTGGTTCTACTTGCAAGAAGAAATTTTAAAATGGTCCCAAAATTTCTCCAAAGGGGTTCATGCCTACATGAATGATCTTAAGCCAGGACTGGTCAGGATTAGTGGGCTGCCCCGCTGGGCTCAGTCCCCCAGGTGAGGGAGGAATTTACTGAACACACAAGAAATCTAATTCTTTTGAGAGATGACAACAACTGGACTAGAGCAATTGCTTCTCACCAAAACCATGTAACAGTCTTCATTCTGGGATGACTCAGATTGTCTTTTCTTGGGCCAGCTAACAACTTCATTTTGCCTGTTTAGCCCTTTAATTCATATAGTTCAAATACATCAGCAGCTAGATCTTCCAACACAGTTTTTCATTTTTCTTCTTCTAGTTTCCATTTTCTACTCGGCCTTCTCTTTGGGAAAATTTTAAAAATCAGGACTTAGGTGGGACATTTACCTTCAGGATGGGATCTATAAACCAGTGATGACCAACCAGAGTATGTCATGTCCTGGCCACAGGGATCGGTCTAGCAAGTCACGGAACCCAAGCAGAACCAAGCATAGTCCTCCCTGGGCCTTTTCAGTTGAGCTAAAATGCAAAACTGCTTCTTAAGGAACTGTTTTAGGCTGGGAATATAGCTCAGTGGTAGAGCACTTGCTTAGCATGCAAAAAGGGCCAGGGTTCAACCTCTACATCACAGAAAACAAGAACATTTAAAAAATAATTTTATACATATGCAAAAATAGTGAGAATGACTTATGAACCATCCTGTCCTCTACTCTCTGTTTCAACATTAATTCACTCATAGGCAATCTGAAATAGGATTAACTACCTTTCTACACTGGGCTGTAGGGCTGTAAGGAGAACGCTGACAAGCGTTCATGTCTGTTGGTAGCAAGAATCTGACTTCAAAATAAACTCCAAGAGAACACAGCAGAGCCCTGAGGATACCATCTGAGCTCCTTAATCCAGCCAAGCCTGAAGCCATCACTACCTCTGAACTTTTTTACTTAAGCTGGATTTAGGAGGATTTCTCATTTCTTGCAAAAAGGAACTTTAAAGAAACAGAATTTTTAAAATCTTGTGTTTATTTCTGAGGTATTTTCAAAATATAAACTTTAAGGAAAACATTTAAGGGAAAAAAGGAAAAGGGGAGCTTGAGATGTATTAAAATCATCAGCATTTTAATTTCACTCTTCTAATAGGATAATATCAGTCTCATTGGGACAGCCATTTACCAAAATTTTAAACTAAATAACATAAATATCATTAAGAGATATAACAGAGGAGGGAGGAAGGGAGAGGGAGGGGGGGGAGAGAGAGAGAGAGAGAGAGAGAGAGAGAGAGAATATGAAGGGTAAATATTTTCACGCCTAAAAACATCCTGACAAAAGAATCAGGTCTTCACACCCACGCTAAATTTCTGCTTCTGAATTATCCTCAAAGCAAAGAGGGAATGAATACAATCCCCTCGGTGTACCATTCCTGCACATCTGATGAACTATTTTCCTGCCTCTCCGTTCTTCACCATCCCATTTGCTACCATAGTACTTGCACTTTGGTTTGCTAGCTCTTGTGTAAGATCTTCGTATACTTGTAAAAAGAGGTCTTCCTCAGATCTGGTTCCATCCAGGTACACTGTGGAGCGAAGAAGAGGACAGTAATGAAGGATGTTTACTTTGGCACCTGACATCTCTCACAAATTCCAACAGGTTTAATCAAAGAACCTAGAATCATAACTAAAAGAAGAAATTCTTAGCAATTAAAGATAAAAAAGATTGCAGCCTGGTATAATAGGTCATAAATTTGTTCTTTAATAGAGAAATCCACATCAGGTGCTCTGAAACTTATTTAAATAAATGAGAAAGGAAAGAAAGGAAAAAAGTTAAACAGTACCATGCATATGGCACTTTAGTAGGTGTGAAGAGTTGGCTGCCCAAAAGAGTCACTTAAGGAGCACTTTTCCAACTTATGCATCCAGCTTATGTGAAGCTTCTTTTTTGTTTTTTGAGACAAGGTCCTGCAAAGTCGTTCAGGCTGGCCTTGAACTCAAACTTGTGGTGATCCTCCTGCCTCAGCTTTTCCTGAGGGCTGGGATTACCACCATGCCCGGCTTGTGAAGCTTCTTAAACCATGCACTGGGCTGGTCTCTGCCACATATGTATTGAATCAGAATTCTCCAGGCACAGAAACTGTATATTGTTAATAAAAATGGACAGAAGCAGTTTTGGAGAATTAAAACCTTTAGAACCTATCACAGAAGAGGGGAACCCAGGGACTCCTGCTTAGGGTATCCCTTTAATTTTTGACATGAGAAAAATGCTTCCCAAGTCCTGTGGTTTATGAACTGAGACAACTGACAAGTAAAGGGCCTTCCATGCTAGGAGGAGAGGCACTTACCAACCTCACAGGTGACGCTGTCCATCTCTCGCCTGTGCTTCAGGTACATGGGCCACACGTGCCCATCAAAGTACCCAGGGGGGTCTGGGGGCTCGTAGACTCTCGTACTGTCAAAACACCAAGGAGAATTCATGTTGCCAGAAAGACACAATTTATAAAGTAAAACAGTAATGCTCAGGATAATGGGAAAATCCAAGATTAAATCTGAACGAGATTAACACTCATGGCAGTCATGGCATTCTATGGTGGTTTAGAAAGACAGTAAAAAGGATTTAGTTCTCCAATCCAAAAATTAATTTTGTAACTCACTGTTACTCATAATTATCTTTTTTCCTATAAGAATCAGTGTCGATAATGACAGAAATACTGCTATGTGGGATTAAACTCTAATCTAACTGGGGTTTCGTGTAGCTGTAGCAGAATATAAGTGCACTAACTTGAAATTATAATCTACACAGGACTGTTTCATCTGAAGATTTAGAGGAAATGAGTCAAATAGGTGGGCAGAAAGCCTTTCTCTTAGAGGAGTAATGTGCACTACTCCTTGTGGATGCCATTTACTCTGTAAGAGTCAAGGCTTCCCTGTATGAAATTGACCACATGCACTGCCTGATAATGTTGTTCTCCTTGTGTTCAGTACATTCTGGCTTTTAAATTACAATCCATAAAGATGATTTCCAAACTTACCTCCTTCTCCTCTTACACTCTTCGTATGGGATGGTCAGGAAATAGCTTCTATTCCATATAGTGTCAAGGGGCCTAAGGTAAGAGGATATTTAGTTTACATGGCCTTTCCCCATTCCTTTAGAGGCAACATGACAGTGGGGATGCTTACTTATAATTAAACAGAAGAAAACCTTCGATGATTAAAATGGGAATTTCCTCTGTCCTGCTGCCAGTTGATCCCAGACAGTGTCCTGGATTCTCCATCCAGCAGGAAATGGCTGCCATCATTTTTTCCATGTTAAGTGCTTCAAGCACTTCAGAAAAACAAAAATACATGAAATTAATACAACACAATTTTTTGTGATGCAGTTTTTTGTGGTGAGTATATTCTGAGCTCAGTAAATGTCTAATATAGTGTCATTTACTTGCCCTTCAAAATACCTAATGACAAATACTTTAGACAACCAATTTAAACTCTAATAGTGATAATCTAACACTGGTAATACTAGGTATATTTGAACAAATTTTATTGTGGAAAATTTTAAACATATATAAAAAGAGATAGTAAGGCCCAGTGAACTTCATGTCTCTATTTCTAGCGTTTTTTTCTTTTTTTGGTACTGGGGATCGAACTCAGGTCCTTGCGCTTGCGAAGCAGTTACTGGAACCACTGAGCTAAATCCCCAGCCCCTATTTATTTCTAGCTTTAACAATCATAAACTTATGGCTAAATTTGCTTTATCACTTCTACTCTTTCCTGACTATATATAAAAATTCTAGAAGACAAATAGCTATAGATAAGTTTGAAAGGTAAATGACATGCTATGGAAAATATCTGTAGTATATGTGACAAAGAGCTAATATTTTTGATACAAAAGAGCTCTTATAGATAAATAATTTACATTATTATGACAAAATATGCTAATTCTTTTTTTGTACCAGAAATTAAACTCAGGGCCTCGTGCTTGCCAGGCAGGTACTGTGCCACCGAGCTACATTCCTGGCACAAAATACGGTATTTTAAATGCTAAAATATATACACTTTCTGAGCTTACAATTGTGATTCTAGAAAATTAGCCTGTAGGTTATTCTTAAAGTAGATCCCCAGACCAGACTTGGAGATTTATCAGAAATGCAGAATCTCAGTAGCACTCCAGAACTACCAAGTCAATCTACTGGGGGCAAAGGTCTTTTTATTGGAATGTTTTAAAAGTATGGTTTAATTTAGTTAACAGATGTAAGACTATTAACATTTACTCTTTATTAAAGTGTTAGTTTTGGTTAGTGACATGGTGCTATATTTCTAGATGGTCAGTTTCATCAAAGTTTTCTATTTCATAAGAGTATTCATAATATCTACGTCTTTTTAAAATCCACAGGATCTGTAGTCATATTACCTTTTCCACTTTTGGTACTTGGTATGTGTACCTTTTCTACTTTTTCTTGCTCAGTCTATTTAGGGATCACTCAGAATCGTAGACTTTTATCCCTTATCAAATTTGAAAACTATTCCACTATTCTTTGAGCACTTTTTTAGTACTATACTTTCTGTTCTTTCTCAAATGCCAATGATATATTAGATCTTCTATTGTTTTCCACATTTCTGTTCTTCTCAGACTTTCTCTCTGTTGTTCAGAATAACTTCTATGACTCTGTCTTCAAGTTCACTGCATATTTCCTGTCACCTTTATTCTGCTGCCAAGCATTAATTTAATGAGTTTTAAATTTTTGGTTATTGTATTTTGTCAGTTTCAAAATTTTTATTTTCTTAAGATTTTCTATTTTTTTGCTGAGGCCTTCTAACTTTTCCTTTGTTTCAAGCATGTTTGAAATTGGCTATTGAAACCTTTTAATAACATTTTAAACTCGTCAGATAATTTTGACATCTGTGTCATTGAAATATTGATGGCTACTGTTTCCTTAATCAAGTTGAGATTTTCCTTGTTCTTGATGTGACAAATTATTTTCATTTGTCTTGGAAATTTTAGGCACTGTGTTATGAGGTTCAGGGTCCTAATTAATCTTTTGTGCAGGCAGTCCCCTGTTGAAGTGCAGTGCGCAGGTTCAGGTGGGGGTAGATGTTCAGCTTCTTGCTGGGCTCTGGTGTTCATATGACGCTGGGAGGGTGGACCCGAGGGAAAAAGGGGACAGCAGAATGCTGGTTCAGCTTCCTTTGCTGCTAGGTGAGCAAAAGCTTAGCCTTCTCCTGGGTCTTGATAGCAGCTCACACTTGGTGAGGAAGGGGGAGGGGCGGGTTGCTACCTGCAAAACCTCAAGCTGTGGCAGCCACCTTTTGCTGCCAGGTTGACTAGAAGTGCAGTTCCCTGTCTGGCTCCAGAGACACCACCCCTGAGGCGATGCACAGGACCAATTCATCCTGCCTTGCTGGTGCTGAATGGGTCAGAGGCCGTGGTCTTCTCTTGGGCCCTACTAGTATTATGAGGGAAGCAGGTTTCTCCTTTTGCATTTGGCTAAAGTTGGGTGGATATCATGAAAAAGATCTGTTCTTCCATCCATCCTTTTCTTGGTCCTTTAATTTCAGGGAGTGGGTTTCATGGTGCTGTTTTCTTCAAGGCTGTTCATGGTTTTATGCGGCACACTTCCCCAGCACCTCATCCTGAGTATCTGGGAGGCAAAAAGAAAGCCCCAGGAACTGATAGCCAGGCCAATCCTGAAGTCGTGAGCCAGCTCACTCACTGTTTTTTCATCTTGCAGTCTTCCTCTGGTTGTCTGTTGTCTTATGTCCAAGGATTTTGGCTGTAAGAGGGAGGACCAATGAGATACGGGGATAATCCATTTGGCTAGAACCAGAAGTCCTAGTCATTTTGATACATTTTCATTATTACTCAGTTAAAAATATTTCTAAAAATATGTCTAAGTTTCATTGTGACTTTTTTGACCCACAAATATATAATCTTTTTACTTCAGATTAAACATGACAATTTTGGGATTTGCTTTAAAATAATGCCAAAGGAAGAAGTGGGTGAGGGTATAGATGAATTATAATTGGTCAAGGATTCATCATTTTTTAAGTTGGATGGTGAACTCGTGTGTTCATTACATCTTTCTGCCCATTTTTGTTTATGTTTGAAATTTTCCATAAGATAAAGTTTTAAAAATAATTTTGAAATTATCATTTACTTTACAAACACTTGAGAATTTTCTGTTTATCCTTTTGTTACTCATCTCTAATTCAGTTCACTGTGATTAACAGAATATTCTGTATTACTTCAATCCATTGAGATATATGAGGACTTACTCCATGCGTCTGCTTATAGTCTACTCGGGCAAATGTTCTGGAGAAAAAAACCCCTGCATTCTGTTGCTGCTGGGTGCATGTTCTAAATGTCGGTCTGATCCGGAACGGTGAGACAACATGTTTCTGTTTTTACACCATCCCATCTGTGGTGCTTTGTTAACTAGCAAACTATTACGCAAAGGAAGTTCTGACAAGATCTGACACAGTAATTATGGATTTGTCTATTTCTCCTCCTACTTCTGTCAGATTTTATTTGGTGCATTTTGGGTTATATTATGTGCATACAAATTTTAGATCACTTTATCTTCCTGTTGAATCGAACCACTTTTCCTTCTTTATCCTTAGTGCTACTTTCCTTAATGCTTACTTTTTTCTAGTATTAGTAAAGTTGGTACCATAGTATATATTTTTCCAGCCTTATGCTCTCTACCTATGTCCTCATATTTAAGTCCATTTCTTTTAAGGAGCTTATAATTGGCTTTTTAAAAAGTCCTATTTGACAATTTTTAGAATATTTAGTTCATTTAACTTAATGTAGCTGCAGAGATATTTGGTTTTAAATCTTACTATTATTTTCTTTTTGTCCATCATCTTTTGATTTTATTTTTACTTTTGTAGCTTTCAATTATATTTTAATGAGTCTATTTCATGTTTAAGTTTGAAAGTTACAGCTTTTAAGCTTTTTAAAAGCATTTATAAAGATGCTGATACCACCTTGATTTACTGTACATTTGGCACATTTACCTGAAAAGTTCAAAAAATTTTAAAGCTACATTCCTGGATGTGGGATATTTGAGCTTATGGCATGGACATTTTAAGGTCTCTGAGACAGATTTATCAATTTATACATTCATCTAAGGCACATGGGAGTTTTTGTTTTCTTCAGTCCTTGTCATCATTACATAACTATCACTGCTATAAAGATCTTTACTTCATGAGGGGAAAAAATAATTTGCATAAATAAAATAACTCTGACTAGTTTGGAGGTTGACTTTTTACTCTACACTTAGTACTATTATAACCTGATATTTCTGTGAGTAGCTTCTTCACATTCTTATACTATTTTTCTTTGGGCATATTAGTTTTTTCTTCTCAGATTGCACTAAAAAGTAGGAATAATTATTCTTTGCCAATTGTCAAAATCAGTTTTTTACAGTTTGATTCTTTGTAATAATCTTTCTCATTAACCTTTGGATAGGAAGAAAACAAAAAAATTCAACTTGATACAGGAGCAGAAAATGAATTAAGGGTTTTGTCTTTTTAAAAGATCATGTGTCTGTAAGAACTGTTATGTAACATTTTCCCTCCAAGGCCCTCAAAATTAAAAATAATAAATGCACTTTGTGACTTTTTAGAGAGCTTCCTCTGCTGTTAGTCTGCATAAGTACTCAACAATCACCTTGTTAATTATAAGTTAGTATGACCATTAAACATTACATAATCACAATATTCTTTACAGGAAAATAATTTTTTTCTGGTGGACTTTACTCCTTTGGCTTTAAAACTGTGCTAGCTTGGGGCAAACGAATGGGTTGAATCCTTCCAAAAATATTTCCAAGTCTTTCTGAGCAGCAAAAAGAAAAAAAATAAGCTTCCAGGTCCTTCGGCCACCAGGAAGAAAAGCTGAGAAGATGAAAGCCTAGCATTTGCTCCAGAGGAAATATTCAGGGGAGATGAGGAAAATACAGTGAGTTATGTAAGTCTAGGGCAAGGTAAGTAGGGGACCAGTGAGCCTACTTTGCCCTACCTTCGGAACAAAAATCTATCATGCCCATGCTTTCGGTCTTAAATATGAATCTGGGGGATGATTCTGCTTAACTTGAGGCATTCATAGATAAATGGATGCACCTTGAGAGCACAATATTAAGTGCAATAAATCAGACACACAAGCCTAAGTACCATGTAGTTTCTCTTGTACGAGACACTCAAAATAAAGAACAAAAGAAAAGATAATAGGAACTAAGGAGGTCTTTTTCAAATGGGAGGGGGTATAAGAGATAGGGGGAGTAATGGGGATGGAAAAAAAGAATTGAAAGGAAAAAAATAGAAATAGGGTTTTTGCAAATGGGAAGAGGACCAAGAGATGGAAGGAGCAGGGAGACGAGAGGGGTAGGGAATAAAAGAATTAGAGGTGTTATGTGCATGTGCCAGTCCCCCACGACAAAGGCAATCAGTATGTTCTGCAAACACGCACTAGTAAAACATAAAACTTAAACAGTTGAATATAAATTAGACAAAAACCTACAAAAAAGCAGATTTAAAGTAAGCTATATATTTTAGCACTTTTAAGACTTTCTTCATAAACAATGAAATTCTTTGGTTTGAAAAAGAAAACAAGCACGTAATGTTTTAGTAGTGACTCTACTTACCATCGTACTGTAAAAATCCATTTTTATCTTTCTCTATCTCAGATTCTGGCTGGAAAAAAAAGAACCCATCAAAATCATGGATAGGGGAAAAATAATGCAATTATAGAATAAAGGGACAAATGTTTTGGAATATGATAGCTAAGATCAAAGGTCAGCCCTGGTAGATGGCGCCATCTAGTGGGTAAGTGACACTATTGTTACGGAGCCTGCCTTTAGTACAAAAGGCTTTTTGGATGCAATTCAATTAACTGTCATTAAAAATTTTTGTGCTAAATACGTTATCTAAGAAGTTTTATCAGTACCTTGAAGAAGTCATCTTGAGATATGACACTACAGTTTGTGAGGTGTTTCTGCAAATTTTTAGCCAGTGTTGTCTTTCCACCATTTGTCACTCTGTACCCAGAAGAAAAAGTAGAAAGTAATAATGCATTAAAAAACAGGAAACATTTAAAAATCATTTTTTAAAAAAGGATATTTAAAACAATATTTTCTACTTAAGAACAAATAATGTCCTTCATAGATTTTGCCTTTTCTGTTGGTAAGACCATAGGCATTAGCAGATAAAATGTACTAAATGGTAAGAAATAAGCTGGAAACAAAGGAAGAGAATAGCAACTAACTACTGGTCAGTGAACTGGGTACTAAGACTTCAAAATACAAATAGAGTGTTGGAGGCAAAATAATTGTTAGCCTAGAGCAAAGCATCTGAGAATTCATATGCAACACAGTAGCACAAGTATGTAAAATTACAGATGGTCACTGTGATTCTGTCTCAATGCACAGTGGTAAAAAAACAAAGGAGGGGTTGCTACAATCCCTCCCATCAAGAATACACATTTCCTGTGTGGCACTGCAGCTCCCATGAGCTCTGTACCGTCCATGTCTGCTTATCACATCAGGTCAGCTATTAGTCCCCAGCTGGACTGTGCCCCCAAGAACAAGCACCCGACCTGCTCCTGCAGATCCCAGCTTCCAGCACTGGCACCCTGTGTAGCCCACAGGAGTTGTACTTCTCTATTCAGTCTCTTATTCAAAGATGTCTTAACCTGGGCTCAGCTACCTCCAGATGGGCTGTGGCAGCATTCAAGATCTTTGTGCTTGAATGGGAAAGAAACTACATGTTTATTCTGGCTAAATTCTAACAGAGTTTCATCATTTCCTTTAACTGTGAATATAAATAAGCTACAATAATATTAATAGTACCTATAATGTTGTCTTCAACAAAAATTACACATATTTTACATGCACTGCAGTAGGAGAGGATTATCTAGGGATATCACTGATGCTCATTATTATTGTAAATTTATGGCAGTTTTTAGATCAGCCACTGGATACTGTTAGTTATTACTATGTTAAGAAAGAAGTGTGTATCACAGTGTTACAAACCTGCTAATATACATTTATGACTATTTTAATATAACTGGTTTTCTTTGTATTCCTGCATTTTATTTCATCCATTATAAAGCACTGCTCTGAAAAGTTCAATATTTCACCATACCATGAAATATTCACAGTACAAAGCTCCTGTGTATCTATTTGCAAGAATCTATGTTTAATCACAGATGAAATCAGTATCACAATATTTATAATCTAGAAAAGGAAAAATGAACTATTTATTCATCAAAAGTACGTGTTGTATATAGTCACCTAAGTAGCTTACATCTACAAAGTAGATGAAACTGGATTCATAAGACTTTCCATTTAACTTTACCATATATGATTGAATGATATATGCATAATGGCTTTGAAAATAGGAAAAAGTAGTAGGTGGATGTTACTGAGAAAACATTGTTATAACATTTTTTCCTCTTGAAGAAAAATGTAAACCACACTGAAAGTCCATACTTCAGTGAATTTTGGCTTAGACAGTAAACAAGGATAATCTTATTATGGTATGCACAAGTTAAAAAGGGTCTCTGTTATTACTCCTGTTATTACAAGTGGAGAATCCTTTCTTCAACAAGTAGATTATATTGATATTCTCATATACCAGTTGAGGTAACTAGGGATTGAAAAATTATTTTACTGATAAATAAAATACTAGTTGTTTTATTTTACTGATAAAGTTGTTGCTCAAGGCAACAACTAGTAGTAAGTTACAGATATAGTCTGCCTCTAACATGGAGTTTTGTGGAACTCTGAGAATCTGATGAAGGTTACAAACCCTTTGCCCAGGATGGGATGTTGGTTGCTCAGTGGTAGAGTGCATGCTTAGTGTGCTCAAAGCTCTGGGTTTAATCCCAGCATCGAATAAAATAAAATAAACCCTATTTCCAGAAACAAACATTTTTACACATGCCTTAAATATTCAGGAGGTTCATGGATTTTCTGGAATTCTGAATTCCTTCAGAACCTCTAAAACTGCCTTGCAGTCACAACTGAATGGTGACTTCTTAGGGCAGAAATGGAAAGGTACACAGAAAGTCACCATGTGGCGGGACTGGAGGACAGAAGGCAGAAACAGAAGCCCCTGCAGCTGAGTCTGGCATGTACTTTTAAATGAAACTGTGGTGTCTGCAGTGGAAAGGGTTTCTTAGGAAGTTGGGGATAGCACTTAATGAATGTGGTAAGAAAGCACGAGGCTTCTCTAGACAGCGGGCCCCATACTGAAGCACTGAGAAGACAACTTATGTGTATACCAGTGGACTGAAGAGCCACCCCCCAGCTCCCAACTCTCTTTCCCACGTCTGGTCAGGTGGGTCTGGCTCCACTGTCAACTCCAGAACAGGCTGCCACTGGCCCACACCAATCTGTGAATCCTATACCTTTGCACAGCAGCTGAGGCTCTGTGAGCCAAGCAGGTCTGGTCAGAGGGACACCTACGACCTGGTGGAAGAGAAATCACTTTCCCCCCTAGTGACAAGCTAAAACAAAGCATGACAGTCACAAAGAGGTGCAGTGGCAGCCAAACTCTAAAGAGGAGCCAATGAGAGAGAGGGGGGAGGGAGGGAGGATGAGAGAGAAGCACTCTTTGATGACATCATTGAACTCCTGAATCATACCTTTCTTGCAGCCTGCCTACTCTTTAGCTAGTAACTTATTTATAGATAGCCCTCATATAGCACAATATTTAGATTTCACTCTAAATAACTGGGAGCTACTGACTTGTTCATCAGCTGAGATAAATGTTTTGTACAAAGATTAAACTGGTAGAGGAATGTAGGAAAATACTATGATCAGAATTAGGGATGTTGTCTTGAACTAGGAGGGTGGCAGTATGTGTGGGAAGGACAGGAGAAGTACTGCTGAGGAAAACTGAAGCTTGGCTCTGGTCAGGTGGCAGGCATAGCAATGCATGTTCTGACATGGAATCCACTCTGTTTTACTTCTAAATGATGATTTCCCATGTAATATAATACAATCACACAATGAATGATCTACTTAAAGTTACCTATGTTTAAATTCTAATAGTCAAATATTTTATTAATGGGGCACACATAATGTTAAGGTACTTAGAAGAAAGATGAACATAATATGGTAGCAAAAATGATGTCCTTTTTGATTGCTGTTGATGTCTCATTTACATACAGCCTTTGGTACCAAGGGTGAGATAACCATATAAATTAGGACTTTTTTTGGGGTAATGCTGAGGATTAAACTCAGGGTCTTATGCATGTAAAGCATGCACCCTGCCTCTGAGCTACATTTGCAGGCCCTCGGACTTGACCAGACAAACAGCCTAGGGCATAAGGTCATTGTACATAATGGGGAAGAGGAATGGAGGGGAGGATGTCTCTATTCCACATGTCCAAAGCAAGGCATAAGAAAAAAATGGTTGATTTTCTTACATTGTGCCGGAGAGCCACTTGTATAGGGAGTTATAAATCACCCCGAGCCGGTAGTGTCCAGTCAGGCCCTGCCTCTGGCATTAGCTCCAGTGGGCAAACACTTCTGACTGACTCTTCTCTTTCTCTGTCTGCAGGAAACTCTTTCACCCCTTGCTGGCACTTATGTAGCAGCAATCCCTGTGATCTGCTCCTCTCTAGGACTCTAGGATGCCCACTGCTTCCCTGCCCCTCCTTCTCCTCCATACCCACAAGAAAATACCACTTGGACACCCTGAGTGGCTTTTATTTTTATTTTTTGTGGTACAGGGGACTGAACCTGGGGTCTCTGCACTGAGCTGTACCTCCGGCCCTTTTTCTTCTTTTATATTTTGAGGCACAGTCTAAGTTGCTCAGGCTGGGCTTGAACTTGGGATCCTCCTGCTTCAGCCTCCTAGAATGCTGGTATTTTACAGGTGTGCACCATCATACCCAGCACATCCAGAGTATCTTGAGCAGCTGTTTGTAGCAAAATTACTCACCCGCCGATTCCAATGACAAATGTCTTCATAATTAGCTTTGAAAAGCACGTCTTCCTAATATTTCCTAAAATTAAAAAAATGAACATGTACCATGTAGCTATTTAGGGAGGTAAGAAAGCGATCCTGAAATAGCAGCAGCAGTGAAGTGAGGATGATGGCAATGGCTTGGCCACCCCAGCCCGCATTTCCCACAGCCATTGGGGAGAGCTTCAGGCCATCGAGCTTCAGGATGACAGAATACTGCAGTGACGACAGCTGCTTGGTGCTCAGGGCCTCTGTTTCCAGGGGTTGGGAGGCTTTCCAGGCACAGCGGGGTCTACGGTTCCAGCTGACTCCCGCTCAGAAGCCTTTCACCTGAAGATTCCATCACCAGTGGCCAGTTTTCCCAGAGGCAGGGAGGCCTCAGAGGGAGCCCCTTCTCTTCCCTCCAGAAACAGGAAGTACATCGCTGCTGGCCAGAGGGAGACACCTGCCAAAGTCCTTTCACAGCACTGTTTCCTAACTCCACAGCCTACGTGTAAGGGCTGGTGAGGCAGACTCTTTTGGAAACAGATCAGATTGTAAATATTGGAGGGTATTTGGGATAAGAAGCCAAATCTTTTTTTTGGTAACCAAATCTGAGTTATTACATTGGGACTTATATAACAAAAGAAAAACAAGATTTTCATGAAAACTTTTATGTCACTTAAGATACATAATCATAATTGCTTTTTTTGGCGGGGGGGGTGGTTAATACAAGTCTGCTCATGATGGGAATGGAATTTCTCTTTTATTGGAATAACATTTCCTTTACCTAGATTTCTAAGCTAGCATTCTCTGTTATGAAGCTGCCAGTGTCAGGCAGATGGCCAGATTTAAGCCACAGGCTGTTTTGTTGAACCCTGGTCTAGGGGGCAGAGGGCATTTCATCCCTGGCACCCCAGGCTTCACCAAAGTGGTCTTTAGATTGGACACCATCTTCATCGCTAAGAAGAGCTGAAGTATGGCTGAGGGACCCTGAGAAAGAGGCTCCTCATGGTCATTCCTGACTGGAGCTGCTCTTTCTGCCTGTGTGCTCAGAAGGGTGATCAGGGACCAAAGGTGTTCACAGCTGGAAGTGGGTGGCTGTTGGGCTGGAGGGTATCCTATCCTTGACCTGTGTTCATACTCCCCCGAGGAAGGGCTGTGAAGAATAGCCTGATGGGGAGAGGGCTGAAGCTCCTTAGGTGCTTCTCAGCTCTCGGGAATATTCCAAGTTGAGAGCAACTGTTAAGGTTAGATTCTATTTTCATTAGCAGCCCGTGGGAAACAAGAGTTCAAGACTGACCGTGATAAAAGCAAACCTACAGGAGGAGCTGGGTATTTGAGTTTCACCTGGCATTGCACTATTGAATATGTACCTCCATCCAAATGTGGATCAAGGGAACAACTGCATTCAATAAATACTGTAAAATAAATTTTTATGTTGTAGTTCTTCTGCTTTTGAATTTTATTTTGCCTTAATTTTTTTTTTTTTTGGTACCAGGGATTGAACTCAGGTCCTTGCACTTGCACAGCAGGTGGCCAAACCACTGAGCTAAATCCCCGGCCCCAATTTTGCCTTAATTTTGACATGTCTTATTTTTGACAGCCTTTTTTGAGGAGGGACAGACTGCCCTTTATCTTGAGATGGGCTCTATCTTACCTTTATGGTGATAAATGAGCTTTCTCTCATGAAATCATGTGGTCACTAGATGGTAGTAGACTGGTGCCTTCACTTACCAAATTAAAAAAAATCACAAAATGTTATCATTCCTTGATCCCATCTCATTTATTTTTGGATAGTTTGTTGCAGCAAAAATTCTCAAGCTCAGAGAAATACAGCCTCATATACCATTTAGAGCACCCTTCATTTTGCAGAGGTGGAAGCATCGGACAGGAGTGACTGGAAAAGCAAACTAAATCCATGGAGTTAGTATCTTCCCATCATTCCAAGCTGCCATAAAGCACTTCTTTACCAAGAGCTCAGAAAGGGTTGTACGTGTACTAGCTTAACTGCCAGACGGATGTATAATTGATGCCACTCCTATTGATACATTGTTGATGGGGCATTGTATTTGCTGTGCACACTGGATGGAAAGGACTACCAGTCCCCTGTCCTAACTGCGACATCTGTGCACACTTGTGAGGATAATGCATCAGTTTCCTAGCACATAAATAACAAATGAGTGCAGGTGTAACTGATGTGGCAGTGTAAGGGGGACACTTGAGTGGAAACCAGAAATGAGAGGAGTCAAAAACCTACTTAAAATATTGTCGGGGCAGGAAGGGAAGTGAAGTCCTAAAGCCAAACCAGGTTTTTATCAAAGCAGGCACCCTGAGTTCCACACTGGTCAGCACCCGGGCCTGTCTAACGCAGCCAGGCACTCTTTTTAGCAATGAGCAGATGACAATGTAAAAGGGTGGGGAACTGGGTTGGGCAGAGAAAGGGCAGGCAGTTGGGCTGAGTGACTAGGTATGGAGGGGTGGGCCTACGAATCCTGAAACCGGGTATTTCAAACACAGTGAGGGACTCACAGGGGTACCTCAACAGAACTCCAAGTTCAGACTTGGCATTGTCCATCTCCACATCACATCTCTCTCCTCCTTTAAAAACTATTTAAAAACCCAATTTAAAGTTTGCAATCAAGACTTGCTAGTCTCCAAATACATGCAGCGGCAGATTTCATGAAACAAATACAAAGTATGAACAACTACAAATGTAAATCACATGGCGTCTCTGAAGAAATACTTTTTTGAACTTTGCAGAGTCCCAGTTCAGAGCATCCTATTCCTAGGACGTATGTGGCACCTCCCATCTCATAGAACATTTATGTAGTTTATTTCCCCAATGTGTGCAAAGCTTTTCAATAGCAGCAACTATTTGCATGGGGGGTAGAGAGCCTGGGACAACCACGAGCAGACCCAAACTGAGTCATTTTAATATGTTTATACTTATATTTTTTCTCTAAGTAAAACGTTGACTCTTTTTTCCATAATTGGCATATGTTGATGTTTAATCGATTTCACTACTAACATGTTGGATTTTTAACCACAGAATCTTTCTACTGGGCATGCAGTAAGTCAGCACTTCGTAAGGAAGAAAATAACTCCTTGGCGCAGTAATGGTCTGAAAGACGACAACTGAGAACAAAACGTGCTTTTCAAATGTGTTTGAGGGGCAGTCTCATCTTTTAAAAAGAGTTCAATGTTTTCAGGACTCACTTATTTTGCTCAACAGATATTTTGACTATTCTTCCACGAAACAAGGCAGTTTTTTCCTACTTGTTTAGAACTTTGCTCACTTTTAGTAAACAAATCTCTCAATGGTGAAGTTTCTACAAATGTAATCTATGCCGCTTCCCAGTTAGAATAGTTTTTTAGTGGAAAATCTGAAGCCTCATTTTATGCAGGTTCTTATATAACCGTTCTTTTCCCCCCCAGCCACTCATTAGCTTTATAATATTGACTCTGCCACCTGAACGACCTTCCAGTGTTCCCTGACAATCTGCTAGGTCAGGCTTGGGCTAGCTTTTCCTATAAAGTGCCAAAGAGAAAATGTTTTCAGCTTTGCGAGTACGTTTACTCAACCCCGCGGTGGGAAAGAGAAGACAGCCACAGACAACCCGTAAGGAAACAGGTATAGCCCTGTACTAGCTCAAACTGGATGGACTCTGAAATCTGAATTTCATACCATAGTCACGTGCCAAAATACTACTTCTTAAAAATATTCGTCTTTTGTTTCCTTCTCGGCTATTAAGAAACGCAGAGAGCATTCCTAGCAGGCGATACGGAACCAGGTAGCAGGCAGGCCAGAGGCGGGGCCGTGTGGTCCCCGAAACAGAGCTGCCGGGTCCCAGGGGCCGTCCGGTCCCCGCCGGCTCTCGGAGGCGGCGGCCGCGTTCGCTGGCTCGTCCCGGGGCGTCGAAGTCCCGCGCATCACGGCCGCGCGCCCTGCCCGGTCAGGCCTCAAGGTGCGACCAGGGCGAGGATCCCGGGACACCTGCGGCCGCACCGGGGCAACAGGGGAGGCGGGGACTCACTCACCTGGCGCCCGGCGAGGCCTCCTCACTGACCGTGGGGCCGCAGGCCCTCCTTGCCCCGCGCCTCGCTGACAGCAGAGAGGCGGGCGGAGGTGGCGGCCGGGAAGCCCCTTCCCACCCGGCCGGACGCTGCGCCCGCGACCGCCCCGACTCGGGCCGGGGCGGGGCTCCGGCGAGCGTGGCTTCGCGTGCGCGCGCCTGCGGGGCTCCGGCGCGGTCCCGTCGGGCTCGCTCTGCGGCGCGGTCTCCCGGCCCGGCAGGCTCCGCAGCCAATGAGCGCGCGGCGAGGCGCGGCCACTTCCTCGTCCGCGCGGCTCGGTCGGCCCCGCGGGGCGGGGCGGGGCGGGGCAGGCAGGTCCCGGAGGCGCTCGCTACGCTCGCCGCACAGACGCGGACGCAGGCGGCCCAGTGCCGCCGACGGGTGCTGGTGGGCTTTCGGCGCGCGCTCTGCGAGGTTCTCTGCTCCAGGAAGCGAGATGTCGAAGCCGCCTCCCAAACCGGTTAAGCCAGGTGAGAGGCTGGCGGCGCCCGAGCCCCGGGCCGGCGGACGGGGCGCGGAGCTTCGTTGCGTTCACCCCGGGGGGAGGAATCGCTGCCGATAGCGAGAGGATTTCGAGGATTAAAAAAAAAAACTGTTTTAAAGGAGTTGCTCTGGGTTTTGCAACATTAACATTCGCGACAACTTTCCCGCGGGTGTGATGGCAGCTTTCGATTGATTGAAGCTTTCCGGAAAGACAGGGCCATTAAGCTCCTGTTACAAAAATGAAATAAAGGCGTCTCGAAGTGGTCTGGAGCCGCTTCCTCTTTCCTCTGAGTGTGTCGCTGTCAAGTTAGCGTCCGGACCGGCCGGGCGGACGGGAAGTGCGCTGCCCGCAGGGCGGGGTCGGGAGCCGGGCGCTCGGGGCTTCGGGGCCGCGTTCGCCGGTGACCTGGGCCGGGCCGGGCCGGGCCGGGCCGGGCCGGGCCGAGCCGAGCCGAGCCGAGCCGAGCTGAGCTGAGCTGAGCTTCGGAGCGGACCCGGGGCCCAGGGCTGGACCGGGCCGCTCAGCGTGGGTGCTTCGTCTGCACCCCCCACTCCGGCTCGCTGAACGGGTGGGAGACGGTTCCTCAGCGTGTTCTGCACCGATAGATCGTCCTTGTTCTTTTTGACTCTGTTCTTGGAATATTCTCCGTGGTGTGGAGACAGAAGACAATGTAAAGGAACTGATTTATTTCAATTCATTGCTGCAATAAACTCCTAGGTGCATTGTTTTTTTTGGGGGGGGGATAATTACTGCAAGCGTAGGAAAAGGGAGCTAATGGTCCCAGTGACCTAAGTTTTTTCTCTTCTATCTCGTGTAACATCAGCAAAGGCTGAAACTTGACCTGTTTACATCAGATTAAGAAGTAACTTTCGTTGCAAAATATAGTTTCAGTGAATATTTCCTTGATTTTTCTCAACTTTGATCAAGCTCTACAAGTGTCATAATTATCCGGATTTCTTGGCAATGACAGTGGCAGTTTCAAGTCTGAAAAATAATGTACACACCCTCATAGGTTAAGTAGTCATTCGCTGAGAATTTAAATTTTGGCAGACGGGCTGTGGAGGAAGTCCCGGAGACCCTTCGGCTCAAGCAACGATGGGCGTGGCTAGAGTTGGGCTCTGCTGCTTGCATTGCGGAATCTAATGAGAAATTTGCATTTTAGGTGCATATATTTGAGGTGGCCCTTTTCTAAACTCAGAGGTAAATCAGGACCTCATGTGTCCAACAGAGTAGAGTCGTTCTTTGATAACTGAACAAAGTATTTTAAAGGATGTCCTGAGAATCTGCTCATAAGGTTTTTCATCCCTTTAGACATTAAATGAAATTTGTGTTATCTCTAGACGGAGAAGACTGGCGTGTGTGTGCATGAGAATGTGTCCTGTGTATTCACCCGTGCTTTGGTTTAGGTGGTTTAGGGATTACCCTGTTACTGACTGGGGACACACTCACAGGAACCATTTTCTTGTCTGACACCACTTTCTCCTCCTCTTTAGCAAATCAGAAAATGTATAAACTTTTCTGCTGCTTAGAGAGAACTTTGATGCCAAACTAATTTATAAATCGAATCCAAACATAAATAAGGTTACCACAGTAATTGCTTTGTTGGTTTAGTAATTTATAGTGAGAAATGGTGCTGTCAGTCCAACTTGAAACTGTATACTTACTGGCTGGCTTGAAACCAAAAGTACCTTGTTGCATAGTCCCTCAAGTACAGCGTGCTGAGTGTTAGCCATTTTTACAAGCTTTCACTCATTCGCTCCTCTCAGCCATCCAATGAGATTAGTATGTTGTTGTTCCCTTTGCACTGGTGGGGAAATGAAGGCTCAGAGAGGCTAGTTAACTAGTTAACCTAGGTGCAGCAGGAAGGATTAGAACCCTGGTGGTGTGACTATGAAGTAACCGTTATGATTCTCTGCCTTTGGAGCACGATTCATGTGAGTGGCCCAGGGTTGTGTATCTTAGAGCTGGGGGTCAGGAAGGGGCTCCTGGTCCTTAGACTCCTGTCAGAGTGCTCATGATAGTCACCCCGATGGGTAGCAACGAGGAGAGTAGTGCTACACTTTTATTTTCTTATGTTTTCTGGTAAATTTCATGGGCTGTACTGTCCAAAGCAAGCTTGGGCTTGGCTAGGGTATATTTAATTTTTGGTTTATGGCTTTTTTTGTTTTTTAATTAGTCTGGGGGATTGAACTCAGGACCTTGCACTTTCAAGGCAAGTGGTAGCACCACCGAGCTAAATCCCTGGCCTGGTTTATTGCTTTTTTTCCGCCCTGCTTCATCCCCCAAAGACTTGTGGAAATACAGGTTATCTGAGAGAGAGAGAGAAAGAGAGTGAGCGAGTGAGAGAGAGAGAGAGAGAGAATAAAGTAACATTACATAGAGGATGGGAAGAATAATAAGAGGAAACAGGAGAAAAATTAATTTATAGAGTAGAGTGGACCCTCGAATTATGACTGGGCTGACATAGGAACAACTTGAGTTATGACCGGAATTTTTAGTTTTAACTTATGATCAAAGTATTGAGTTATGACCCAAATGCTGGCCACTTGTGCTTCCAGATGGTCTCAGATACAGATTTAACTGTTACAGAGTTCTGGAAGGGACATCTTTTCCTGTGTGGGATTAATTGAGAAATCTTGGGTCAGTGTCTCTCTAAGGACACTGAAATCTGCCTTTGCACAGGAGAGAGACTTTGAAGCCTGTGTAGAGGAGCCTGATCCATCAGTTGACCAACTTGAGTTAAAACCAGCCCATGGGAACGAATTAAGTTCATAAGGGAAGAGTTCACTGTGCACAGCTTAAGGTCTTACAGAATTACCGAATGAGAATTGTAGGTTTAGTTCTCAGCTTCAGGTGGAGAGAACAGATGCAGGATTCCTAGTGCTCATAAAATTCAAGTGTGTCAGTTGCTCTGAGAAGTATTTTAATGGTACTGAAATCAGAGACATACTTCTCCCATTTTGCTAAAGTGTTTCTTTACAATAAAGACGAGAGGAGCAAGATCCTGGCAAAACAACATATTTCAATTCAGTAACAGTACCAAAAGCTGAGGACCTGGGGCCTGGGACTTAGTGGCTGATTTTAAAAGCAAAGGTTGTTCTGTTCTAATGTGGGTTGAGACATCTTTCAGGCCCGATGATCTTTTTGATGATTTGTTGCATTCTGTTTGTCAGTATCTTATTGAGGAATTTTGCTTCTATGTTCGTTAGAGCAATTGGCCTGGATTTGTTTGGATCCTTGTCTGATTTTGGAATCAGAGTAATGGCTAGCTTCCAGTCACGACTTTGGGAGTACTCTTTCCCTTTTAATTTCATTAGTTTGAGAAGTATTGGCATTAGATCTTCACCAAAGTTCTTACAAAATTTGGCAGTGAATTCATCCGGTCCTGGGCTTTTTTTGGTTGGTAGGTTTTTTAATTAATGCTTTAATTTCATTGCCTGTTATTGGGTTATTTAGGATTTTTAAGTCTTCCTGGTTCAGTTTTGGTAATTCATATGTATTTGCAAAGACTGTTTTAGAGACTCTTCTGAGATTTGATCTAAGGATGGGTAAAAGATACCGAATGGGATTGGGGACTTAGAATCACCTCATGCTAGGAGATTTGATAACAGCCCATTGTGGTTGGAAATCAGTATTTGACATTGGCTATTTCTTTCAAGTGGCTTATTGATTTTGGTGGTAAAAGTAAAGTAACATAAATATTTTATATGTCTTATGAAAATAAATTCACGGATTAGATGTCATCAGTATTCTTAGTTCTTTTGTTCATGCTAAATACATAAAACTTCAGAGACATTACACATACACTGCTTAACACTTAAGAGAAAAAAGGTCTTCATCTAAATGATCTCAATTTTTGTATAAGTCCTCCCCCTGAATAAATGCATTCAGCAAAGGTCAGAGTATAAGGTTGTTTTTGAAATATTCAGAATGAGTGGTTTTGTTTCATAAATGTTATGCTCCTTTTATACCGAACAGCAGAATAAAGTTTGAGAAAAGCATCTTGAAACTTCCAGGATGATGATGACTGCAATGATGATGTGAACAGTTAATCTTTATTTGGCCTGTGTGTCAGGCACCATACTAAGCATAGTACATGCTCTGTCTCCTTCTGACTTTGCTATGAGTTGAGTCCTAATATCCCTATTTTAGGAATGAATTAATACTTCGTAAGGTTAAGTAGACTGTACCAGTGCTAGTTGGGATTGGTGTGACCTGGAATAGAGCACAGGCTTTAACTTGAGTCTCCATTTTGAGCAGAGAAACCTGTGGGATGGACCCACTACTCTGAGGTAGCCACCTTTATTAACATATGCAGCTGTATTATTGGGATTTGCTTCGCATAACTACTCTTTATTGGGTCAGTACTGTATTAGATTGTACACTTTTAAAGAATAGATCAGTGCATTCCTTTGTAAATGCACAGCCACACTAAACTGTTCATGAATGACAGATACATAAAAAGTTTTGATACATAATGAAATCTATTTGGGAAAAAGTGGGGAGAGGATGTGTTTGACCATTCCTTATAGTTTTACCACAAAGCCAGAAAGCTAGGGGCTGTGTTCTTCAGGTGAGCATTCTTGTACTTTGAAGTCACAGGGTCCCCTCCCTCTGTGTTCAACACCTGTACC